CTCTCTCTCTCTCTCTCTCTCTCTCTCTCTCTCCACCCATATATGTGTGCATATCACTAATACATTGATCACGATCTGAAATGGCATTTGCAGCAGCATTTCACAAAAGCATGGAAACATATCTGCAATCAGTGCATTAATGCAAAGGTCAGAAATAGCATCGTAATGAAACCACTCGGAAAATAGACCACCATAAAAGTGTTCGAACAGGACAGAAATGGCTCCCTTGTTTAAAACTGGGGCAGGAAGGAAAGGACAAGGATCATGACAGACTGTTTTGTAGCACTCTCATTGACTCATCACACGGCTGAACCCGTGACAGCCTGCAGAATCCCTACTGATGCCTTGAGTCATAAGGACTCCCTCTGCTATTCGCAACGCTCAAAGAATTTTGAGTCTTGATTGTGGGCTGTCAGACTCGAGGAAACAGCAAAATTCGGGTCCCTGCTCCATTTATTGCAAAGTCGGACTCTCGATTCCTCCAAGAGAAAAAAGCCAGCGGAGCATGACAAAACAAAAGTGTGACAGTTGGGTCCCAACTTAAGGTGTACTCTCCAAATTCTGAGGTTTTTGAGGGCATACTCACACTAGGACTTTCCTGCATGTATATGACCGCCTTTCTGACCCGTCCTAGATGCACCTAACAGCAATTACGTCCACAGCGAAGCAGAGAAAGTCCTAGTGTGAGTATACCCCGAGAGTGGCTGATGGAGAGCTCTCGATTTTTCCATTGCTATTGACTCTCCAACTTTGGAGAGTGCGCCCGCTCGAAGGCCCTTTTCTGGGCAGCTTTCAAAATGTTTTGAGAGCTGCTTTCGAGAGGAAGTGGAGCAGTGCACGGCTCTCATAGTCTGCTGTGACCCATGTAGCCAGTGGATAGCCACGCAGACAGCAACACAAGCGACAAGGCAAAGCAGGCTGCAGTAAGGTGTCGGTGTGGAGGGGGTGGGCAGGCAGGCATGAAGGCAAACAACACAGCAGCTAGCCGAAGAACAGCCAGTCACACAGTCTAGTGAGAAGGCAGGCAGGAACCAAGGCAGGCAGCAAGGTGAATAGGTAAGCATCAGAAGGCAAGCAGATGGGTAGATGGAGAGTGGGACAAGGGAAACGAGTGGGCAGGCAAGCAGCAGGGTGGCAAGGCAATGCAATGCACGCAGACAAAGCGTACAGAATGGAGCGAAGCGGACCATCGGTTACACCACGAGTAGAATTTTACAGACTGCACGTTCATACCGCAATCGAGGGTCAGGGAGTCACTTTGAATGAAGTCCGTGACACACAGGCATCCGGAACACAGATGCACACCTAATAGTGTTGCAGGCACTTTTGATAAACGAGAACGACTATTTGGCACATGTTTAAGGTGATGCATTTGGAAACTGAAGAGAGCACGGGACAGAGGATAGCATAAAGAAAATGCACAAAAAGAGAGGAAGAAACGAAGTTATAAATAGCATGATTGTGTGTGTGTGTATTGCAACACACACACACACACACACACACACACAGAGAGAGAGAGAGAGAGAGAGAGAGAGAGAGAGAGAGAGAGAGAGAGAGAGAGAGAGAGAGA